GATATAGGCAGCAGGGCAAGAGTTCAAGCAGACTGCTGGTCTGAATGCCAGCACTTTCAGAACTACTTGCCTCTGAAAGTCACACACACTGGCCCTGCATTCTCACCATGGTTAGGGCTCCATATCCTTCCCAAGCTGAGCTTAAACTTCTCAGGTGTTCTGTCTAGCCCACACTTTCTCTGTGACGGTCCCCTGTGGCTGTCTCGCACTCAGTCCCCATAGTAGGGTAACACTTAAAACTCTGAAGTGCGGTTTCTCTGTAGTTGTTCTGTGGCTCAGTCTTAGACAATTAACCCCTTCCCAAAATGGCTCTTGATTAAACCTTCTCAAACATGATGGGTGCTGCACTGGATTTCTTTTCCACCGCTAGCCTGCCATGCAAAAGGAGTCACTTTCAGTGTAAAGTCTCATGCTGTTTTCTTGGGGCTAGTACTGCTGGCCTGGTCTCTTGTTTCTCCCTAGAGCTGCTGACCCTCCAAGCTTAACTTGTGTCTGAGGAGACAGGTCCTTTTCCCCAGGAGCTGGAGTAACTTTCCAGACTGCTTCGTTCTTTTCTCTGTCTTCTGCTCCATTTCTCCAGCTTCTCTGTAATTTCTGGTTTTCCTGTCATCTCCTTCCCATTTCCCAGAGCTCTTCTCTTTTCCTCTTCACCAAACTGTCCTTTTCCATACATCTCAATTCCAAGTCCCAGAGAGGCTGTATTTTGCTGCTGATTGTTATTACACCAATTTTTTTCTTCCTTTATAGATATAGTTTAAAAGTAGAATGAAAAAAAATTGGAGTGTGTTCAGGATAGGGGAGAAATAGCTTATTCCAAGATCTTTGGCTTGAGGCAAATCTTTCCTTCTTTTTTTAAAAACAGTCACAATGCCTACAACTATAGTAGCCACCATGGCAACTTGCCGTGTGTCATGAGCATGAAGACAAAAGCAAAAATACCTGCAAAACAGAGTAAAAAGATGCCTGAACCCTGCTCATCCCTGAACTGTTGGCCACCAACCTCCAAGCTTCAGGCTGCATTAGAAAGCCCCTATTTAAGTTACTATAGTTAATTTTTAAAGTTGAGATCAAATACATTTCTAACTCATACAGTTTCCTACATGTCCTTCCATTACACCTTGGATTTTAAATGTCCTCGGGAAGCTGATATGCTAAAGGATTGGCACTAGCCCATAGTACTAGGAGGCAGTGGTGGGACTCTTAGGAGGTATGGCCTAGTGGCAGGAAGTTAGGTCATTGTAGGGGTTCCATTAGGTGAACAGTCTTACTCTACCATGTGCTCCCCTCTGCCACAGGTGCACAGCAACTGGGCAACTGACCCTGGACTGAACCCTCTAAAACCATAATACAAAATAAATCTTTCCTCCTTGAAAGGAGGAAATACTGATTTTGTATTTTGTCACAGCCAAGGAAATCTGCCTACACATCTTCAGCTTAACACCAGCGAGCACATGAGTGAAGCCCATTGTATTATCTTTGAGACCTGTGGCATCTGACACTGAATCAACACTCTTATTTTCCCAGATTCCATTTGTTATTATGAGATAAGGGTAAATGTAGGGACACACGACACAGCTGTGTAAACACTTTGCACCCAGCGCCCTACAGCACCTCAGCTGGTGCAGAAACCTTTGGTCACTATGGGGAAGGTGACTGGGTCATCCTTCAAATGCCTGTATGAAAGCCTGGCTGTTTCAAAATCAAATGTATAGAAATAGAGGTCTTCATCCTGCTGGTAGCCCCTGCATGCCAGATTTTCCTAAAAATCCCATCTAGTCTATTTTGTGCTGCTATAATGGAATACCTGAGAAACAGCAATTCATTTTTTTAAACAGATATTTAGTTCTTATAGTTCTGGAGGCTAGAAGTTCAAGGTTAAAAGACCCACATCTGGCAAGGGCTTTCCTGTTATAACATTTAATGGCAGAACACAGGCTGGCAAGAGAGCATCCGAGACAGAGACGAAGGGAGCTGAACTCATCATTTAATCAGAAGCTCACTACCATGATACCATCAATTCACTCTGGGAGGCAGAGCCCCTCATGATCATCTTGTAAGGTCTTATCTGTTAAGATCTAAAAATGTTTAGATCTAAAAATGTCCCCTAAAAGTCTCTATGTATTCAGAGGTGGAGCTTTTGGAAGGTGATTGGATCATGGGGGCAGTTTGCTCACCAGAGGATTAATCCACTAATGAGTTCATGGCTGAATGTGTTGTTAGGGAGTGGGGCCTGGTCAGAGCAAGAGTCACTTTTCTCGTTCCCAGCTCCCTGGCTGCCATGGGGTAAGCGGTCTCCCTCCACCATGCCCTTCCACTGTGCTATTTCTGCTTTGGAGCCAATCATCCATGGCCTAAGTCCTCTGAAACTGTGAGCAAAGTAAACCTCTCCTCTTGTTGTGAGTGTCAGGTGCTTTGCCTCAGTGATGGGAAAAAGGCAGATACCATCGCTCAACACTATCGCATTGAGGATTAAATTTCTAACATGTGAACTCTGGGGGACGTATCCAAATGAGTTATTGCTGAATGACAAGCTACCACAAATTCAATGGCCTAAAACAAAAAGGACCTATTATTGCTCAGAGTCTGTGGTCAACTGAAGCGTTCTGCTGATCCTGGCCAGGCTCACTGAATTTGGCTGGGCATTTCCTTCAGTTGATTGTTAGGTGATTGTCGGTGGAAGGGGTGGTGAGATGGTCTAAGATGGCCTGACTCACAGTTAGCTGGCCACCAGCTCCAGTGACAGGGTTGATTTAGCATGTGGTGGCACACCCTCCAGCAGGCTGCTTGTTCACATGTGGCAGCAGCTTTCCAAGACAACAGCAGTGCACAGATAAGGTCTCCTAAGGCCTATGCCTGGAGTAGCATCTCCTCCCTTCTGCCACATTCTATTACCTGAAAAAAGTCTCAGAGTCATACCAGGTTCAAGGAATGGTGAAATATTGATAGGAAAGACTGCAAAGTCTTTGTAAAGGGCATTTTATATTTTTATAACTAATCTACCATAGTTTCTGGAGTTATATCTTTCATTGTGGGGAGTATCATGCCCATGGAGGAAAGAGATGAAGAAAAGCTGGGTAGCAGAGAGATGCCTGGGGTAGACAGTAGAAAAACAGACCCTGTAGTGAGGAAAGAATGAGCAGCAAAGGGGAAAAGGAAGACACTGGAGCTATAGGCTACATGAAAACTCCACTGCAATAACTACTTCTGCAGTGACTTACACTGGGTGCTTATTAACGTGCCAAGCACTACGCATAAAGAATCTCATATAATCCTCAATCATGCCTGTGAGCAAGCTTCCATTATTAATCACATTTTACAGATGGGGCAATTGAGGTTCAGACAGAATTAGGTAATTTGCAAAGGGACATACATATGGGAAGTACAGGATACAAGATTCAAAGACAGGTTTTGGCATTAAACCAAGCCACTGTTCTGTCACTAACTTGTCTCTCTGTCTCCACCATAGGCCTCCTGCCCGGGCTTGAACCATTGCAACATCTGATTATTCCCAGTCTTGCTCCAGGGGTTGGCCATCTTTTAATATAAAGGGCCAGAAAGTAAATATTTTCAACTTTGTGCTCTATTTGATCTCTGTCTCAATTACTCAACTCTGCTCCTATAGTGTGAGAGCACAAGTAGTTACTGCAGTGCGGGCAGAGCTCCAGGTCCTGCCCAGGTCTGCTGAGTCAGAACACGCATCCTCCCCAGACAACCAGCGGGCTCTGCAGCTCTGGCTTCCAGACCCCTCTGTACTAGTGCCTTCTCGCCCCTCCCACTTCATCCTACGCTACGGAAGCCCTTCTTTCCATCCTCCACCACTGCTTCAAACAAAACTAGAGCTTCTTTCACTTTAGTGTTGCAATCATTCTTCCCCAGCCCAGCTCCCTTTGCTTGGCTAATTCCTATCACTGGATTGGATCTCAACTTGGATACTTCCTCCAAGCATCGTTTCTGGAGACCCTCATGCTGCATAGGTGCATCTCTTTTGTTTCCGTTACCTTCTCTTAGCTAGGGCTGCCCACCCTATAGGGAGCCCCATCACACACTATTTTTCTGAGAGTGGGGACTGAATGCAGGGCTTGTCACTGAGTGACATCCCAGCCCTTTTTTTATTCTTTATTTTGAGATAGGGTCTCGTTAAGTCATTAAGTTGTCCAAGTTGGGCTCAAACTTGCAATTTTCCTGCCTCAGCCTCCCAAAGACTGGAGTTACAGGTGTGCACTACCACATACAGCTAATTCTTTATTTTGAGATAGGGTCTCGCTAAGTCATTAAGTTGTCCAAGTTGGGCTCAAACTTGCAATTTTCCTGCCTCAGCCTCCCAGAGTGCTGGCATTATAAGTGTTATACCAAGTTACCTCCCTCAGTTTGTGATCTCATGAGGCCACGTCTGTCCTAGGCACCCCTGTGCCTAGGGACAGTGTCCCAGTGATACTGGGACAGTATCACGCGTTGAAAACTTGAATGAAACCCACCCACCAACTTCCCTCTGAGGCATATGCTCTACGCAATTACTGTTTAATCAGCACGTGAACACGGGATTTCCTCAAGCTCCACCTGGCTCTGTGCCTTCCTACCTGATCTCTCACCAAGATTTCATCTCCAGGTTGTTTTTCCTATTAGTACATGTTTACCATTTCCAGAGTGCCCCAGGTACTAAGACATTTCTGGGCAAAATTGGGCTATGAATTAGCCACAGGCCAAGACTTGAATTGTATTTGTGCAGGCGGAGAGGAGAGGCAGCGCAGAAAGTTCTAAGGACAGACAGACCTGAAGGGAGCATCCCAGGCTGAACACCTCCAGGGCTGAAAAGTAATATCTTTCCTCACCTGTGCATGGAGCCAGTTGTGTGCCAACAACCATCCCCAGCTTCACTTCATAGGAAAGGACTTCTGTAGAAGGCATGGAGGCTTATGCAAAGAACCCCTCAGCCGGTGCATGTGCAAGCTGCCCTCCTGCAAGATGAGAGCCCTCCCCATAGCTGACAGTCAGTCCAGAGCTTTCTACAATTTTCTTTATTAATACAGCCAAATGTAAAAGAACAAGGTCCCCAAAATGACCCATAGGATTGAAAGTGCAAATTTACTCCAACCTGGCCTAAAAAACTAATAGCAGGCCTTGCTTGACCATTTGGGCCATGGAAGTTTGGTGTGATTAAAATGCCCTTTAATCACAAAATCCTAGCAGCTGAGCCATTTTTGACTAACTCTTTGGTCTCTGTTGTTGGAACAAAACTTTTGACTACCACTACCAAATTGCATCATAATACAGTTTAGGGTCAGAAGACTAATTTATTGTTATACAATAGGAGGAATGTTCTAAGTCAAGTGACTGAATCAAGGCACTTTTTTTTTTAATCAAAAGGTGCTAAAATATTCCTGAATATCTGATACATCAAAAACCAGAGTAATATAGTTTAGCTGCACACTTTAGTCTATTTTCTCTATATGTGATTGCATATTGCCGACCTCTCCCAACTGGCACTTGCATTATCCCCACCCCATTATGTGCTATGTAGATATAAAAAAATAAACATGTATCTAAGTTACAGACAAGAGATTAAAAAAACTAACAAGCACCACGATGATAACACTGAACTTGTTTTCCTCTTGAGGGACACTGGAAATGTGGAAAAGGTTCACTTTCTCTACCACAGGAAAAAATCACCTGAGATGAGAAGACATCTTCATCAATGTCAAAGTCAGCTCCAGGAAAAAGGTGTTTTACTCCAGGTTACGTGTGATGCCCCAGAAGCACATTTGGTTGATGCCTTCTGAGTTGTACGATGTTAATTTTGGAATCCGACCAGAGCCACGTCATCGCAGTAGGAACAGGACAAGCCTAAGAAGTTTGGCCCAGAGACCCAGCTCTGTTTTTACTGCTGTTCCCAGCCACCCACCATCACCAGAAAGGCACAGGCTGGGATATCATGAGCAAAAAAAAAAAAAAAATTAATACAAAAAACAAATACAGCAAAACAAGTTATTCTGCAATCCTTCCTGATTACTCATCGGCAAACTCCAATGGAGCGAAGGCGTTCAGCCCAAATCACCAGGAAGGAAATGCCAAGAACAGACCCAGGGTGCTGTCACGGAGGATCTGACTCCAAAAGAATGGCTCCTGAATGCAGGTCTTTCTGGCAACTGTGAGTTTAGTGTTATCTGTGGCCCTGTTAGTTTTTTTTTTTTTTTTTGGGGGGGGGTGTCCTACAATAAAGCTTAAATTGGAGAGATAAAAAATGGAAATATCACACCCCCAACTATACATAACACCACCGTCTCCATAGCAAAGCATATAATCTTATACATATTTTGGGGGTGTTGATTGTGTAAGGCAGTTGTCGCAAACTGGTAGCCCCCAGGCTCGAACAAATGTTTTGTCTGGTCTACTTGATGTTTTGGACATTTTAAATTTATTTGTTTAAAACTCAGTGAATTTCACCCTTTAAATCCGGATTTCCAGCCCCTCCCTCCGTTTTCCCGCATGGAGCTGAGTAACAATTACCCACTTTAAGTTGGGCTCAGCTCCCACCACCTTCTCACCCCTTCTCTACTTCTCTTCCCAGTTCCTGCAGGCTACTGAGTTTGCGACCCCTGACTGGAAATAGCACATACCTAAAAATGCATTTTCTAACCCAAATCCCTCTCACATCTTCGTAAGATTTCACCTTGTCTCCCTTCTCCCCTCTCTTCCACTTTCTTCCTTCTGAATTCCTCGAGTTTCTCTTAGCTCACATGCATTCCTTCTCTCAGCTATAGTTTCGTTTTGCAACACCCATCTCCTCTCAGCCCAGGAGCATTCCGGGAAGGCTCCAAGCCCGGTCAGTGGGAGTTCCAGCCGGGTGTCTCGCCGCAAAATGCCTGAGTCATCTTCCCCAGAACATTTTCTTTGGCCACTGGCTAAGAAGTTAAAAACGTTTTGGTACAGCCTTCTTATATGAGAATATTTGTATACATGAATCTCCAGTACCAAGCATACACCAAAAATGTGTACATTTCAGATGAAGGATGTGATGGAACCCCAATAAAATACAAAACTGAGCTTAATTTAAATGCCTTGGGCAACCATCACACTTGGCTAAGATGCCGTATTATTTCACTTGTACACAGTACATGTTTTGGTTTATTAAACATTGATCAAAATTGATCGAAATCTCTTTAAGTTTTGGCTACCATGTACAGAGAACAATTGCTCAGCATGGCATTTAAATAAAACATTAATATTTTAAAACTTCACAAATACAATGCTTATTAATTTAAAAAAATTTTAAAACCTTGAGGATGGATAAAGCTTTAGGTAATCAACCTGAAAGAAATCATACTAGGACAAAGTATAAGAACTATATGTTATCAGATTTATACTTCAAAATAGTATTACAATTTTTAAAAAGGAACCTATTATCTCAGCTAGAAATGTTTGGAAAATTTAGCTTTTAAAGCTTTATAATCCAAAAAGTAAAAAAATAAAGCCTTATAATCCATCCATAGCTTCACTTCCACCCCCTACCCCCAGTAGATTTAATGACTACAGTGGAAGTCAGGCTGAGTATGGAAATACATGTTCTACTCTTGGCATTTAAAAGTAATTTGTGAAAACACTGTGCAGTTTTATATCTTTGCAGGAAGCTTGTGGATTAACCTTTTTGCTCAATGCAGTACCATATGATATAACATTGGCCTCAAAAGCTAGGAATGAACTTTGAGATATCAAGGGGAATGGTCCCCAGAACAACCTCACAACATCTGCAGCTGTTTCTCCTTCAGTTCACAGTTGCCAAGGATATAAGAAACCTCTGCAGCTCTAATGACAAAGATTCCCTGTAAATCATTTATCCACGATAATTTCCCACAGTGGCCAAGCGGGTCCCTTAAAGAAAGGAGATTTGTAGAAGTCCCTCAAAATAGCTCAGAAATGAAACAATGGGCCTATTCATGTAAGTACTTCTGTCTCCAAGTTTTGCTTTTAAGAGTCTAAGGAAGACGTGTCTTTGTTTTTTAAAAAAGATCCCCAAGTACATAAAATGCTAAGACTGGCTGTAGTTTCAGCCAGCCAAGCAGACGGTGGGCCACTCTGAACTTGAACCGCAAGCAAATGGGCTCCTCCTGGCTGTGAAGTAACATCCTACCTGGTGCTCTTTCTGTCCCGCCCCTCAGAGATGATTCTCTCAAAGGCTGTTTCCCCCGCTTCCTCTAACTTATTTCCTCTACTCTGTCTCCTCTGCCCACTAACTAGGAGTAACTGATGTCTAAGCACAGATCCCAAGCTACCATACTCTGTCTTTTGCAAGACATAGGCTAAATCAAGAGCCCCTCAAAGCTGGCCCCTTGGGACCAAGGGCTGCCCGGGCAAGTGTGAAGTACCTTCCAACCATTAACCATCACCGTGCATTGGGAACACTAACACATCAGGTACACAGAAGATTGCTCATTTCCTTCCCATTAGCTCCTTAAACTCAGAAAAAAATCTTTGTGAAGGAGTTTGCTAAAAAGCCCTAAAGCCAAAAAAGGTTTCTGTGTCCAGCCAGCAGCAAACCCTTGCCAGACAGCTTAATAGGCAAAGACTGAACTATGTCTGTTTCAAGACCCAACATGTTTGATGGCCTCACTGGCCTCGTTTTAATTATGGATTTTGTTGCCACCTTGTACTATGTCTGCCTCATAGTAGGCACTCAATGAATGGGTGGGACTAGCTGGGACATAGCCCAGCTTGTGGCCTGGAGGGATGGTAAGGGAACATGCTGGGTGCTTTTCAAAGCTGCACATGGCTTCATAATAAATATTTCTGGCCACCCCTTTCAGATGCAACAGAATAATCACCACGGAGTAAGAGAACTGATCAACAAAAAGTGCTATTTGCTCTGAAAACCTCTCCAACCAACTCTTGATTGCCTCTCAATACATGTGACTTATTGACAATCCTATCAGATACCTGTGATTACACCGTTTAAGTACATTAATACTAATCTGAAAGGAAGAATGACTTTCCACAGAATAGTAACAGTGGAACATAACTTTGATTACAGTTCTGGATTTAGTTTAAAAAGAAAAAAGGAATTGGGAACCCAGTACTTAGCAAATAGGCATGTCAAAAATATTCATGTTTATAAACTGGGACAGAGAGGTCTGTGTCTGAAAACCAGCAAAGGGACCTTTCTCTGCAATCGGTCCTGCTTACTTTGCTGGTTCCCCTAAGAGCTGGATCTTTCTACCAGATTCCGCACAGACCACCATGTGGACCAACTCTCAGTAGCTGTGGTTGGGTGTCATTGCCTGGTTTACCCAGGACACTAGTGGGTGTGAAGAAGATGCATAATTATATTGGGTTGTGGAGCCAGGGGGTGACATTTTAGCCACCAAAGCCTGTGGCATCCCCCAAGTTGTTGAACATCTCCGTCAGCCCACTGTGCATTTAACCCCCCATCAACACCCCAGCCCTCACCAGTGGGAAGGGCTTTAGGAGCACTCAGGCAGATGAAGGAGCTGTCTGTCTATGGTTCATGTTCAGGGAACCCTTGAGTGCGCTGACTCCAGGGAGGGGGGCACCTGGTAAGATAGCGGGGACCCCCATAGGCCCGGAGAAGCTGGGGCAGGCTTCGCCAAGTGGACAGCAACCTCGCTGCTGCTAGCTCTCGGGCATGCATGTCAAAAGCGGCCAGGAGGTCCACCGGGGCAGCTTCTCGAAGTACCTTGGGCAGAGGGCCCACTTCAGAGGCCGCCCCTCCAGGGCCCAAAATGCAGTGGAACAGCGTCTGGCGTCCCAGCAGGCAGGCCTTGAGGAACTGCACCAGTTTCTCCAAGCGTTCGCTCAAGTGTGCCTCCTCCCAGCCTTGACCTGGAGACCCCTCACGCAGCAACACTGTCAGCAGCACCGTCTTGAGCACGTATGAAGACAGGACAAGTCCCCACTGGGTGGCAGCCATTGGGTCCAGCCCACGGGCACCCAGATCTCGCAGAGCTTTCAGCAACTGCAGGCACTTGAGGTAGCAGGCACCTGGAGTGGCCCGTTCCTGAAGCCAGCCCAGCAACTTCTGTTCCTGGCGAGCTGTGTTCACACCCCACAGTACTTCTGAGCGCAGGCCTCCTGGGAGCTCCGAGAGAGACCCAATAGGGGAGGGTGGCGGGGGTGGTGCCACAAGGAAGATGCTGTCCCCGAGATGGACCGCAGGGATGAGACGCACAGCCATGGAAAGGCGGCAGCAGCCATAATCCGTACGGCAGGGCAGGATGTGTAGGATAGGAGGCTGCTCCAGGCCGCCAGGGGTCAGGCTGACCCGACAGCACTCTTCCAGTTTGTAGCGCACGGTGGCCAGCGAGCGCTGCAGGTGTGACTGGAACCAGCGCAGCACCAAAGTGGCAGAGAGGTGGTGCTGGCCACGTACATCCACGCAGAAGCTGTCCGCGAAGGGTTTGCAATTCCGGAGCCAGTGGCTCCCTGAGGTTCCCGATGGCGAGGGCGGCGCCTTGAGGGCGCACACGAAGCAGCTGCGGAAGGCGGGGGCCAGAGCGGGCTCTGCGCCCAGGCTCCGCGGCTCCAGCGCCACCAGCGGCGGCAGGCGCAGGGGCACCAGCACGTCGAAGCTGTCCGGCCGGCGGATCTTGTGCTGCTCGTAGGCGCTGCCCACCTGGATGAAGTCCCCTCGGAACGCCAAGGCCAAGGCTCCCCTGGAGATGGGGAATGGGGACCCCCGGATACAGCCAGCCCGCACCAGCTCGCCCACGATCCGGCTCACGTGCGCCTTGCTGTGGCCCAGCACGTGAGGCGACAGGCGCACCTCGTGCTCGTAGTAACTCTCCAGCAAGATGGTAAGGCCCGGCTCTGAGAAGTGTCTAGCGGAGAAGGCGGACTGGCCCACCACGCGGGAAGAGACAGGCAGAAAGCGCTGCCGGACAGCGTGGCGACAGCGCAGGAGGACGTAGCCGAGCAGGAGCAGGATGGCCACTTTGAGCAGCGGGAAGCCACCGTCCGCACCGTCGGGGGACTCGGTCCGGGCGGCCCCGTCTCCCCGCAGGACATGGTAGAGGCACACGAGGGCGGTGCACAGGCCGGTCACCAAGGGCCAGAAGACGCGCAGGTTGAGGGTGTACTGCACCGACATGCCGGGCGCCCGGGGCCGCGGTGGCGGGGCAG